GGGGAAATATATACAGCCACAAGCTGTAGATAGATGTACTTAAAAATGATCGTTACGTGTTAATGCATACTTAAACATTAACTTTAGTTAGCAAAAAGAAAGTAGTTTCTCGAAACAACTTTTTACAGTCTGCATGGCACGGCGCGATCCGGCACACATCCGGCGCGATCCGGCACACATCCGGCGGGATCCGGCATATGTCCGGCAGAATCCGACACAAGGCCGGCGCGATCCGGCACAAGTCCGGCAGAATCCGACACATATCCGGCGCGATCAGACACACATCCGGCGGGATCCGGCACGGCACGACAAACATCCGGCGCGGACGTGTGCCGGATCCCGCCGGATGTGTGCCGGATCGCGCCGGATGTGTGCCGGATCGCGCCGTGCCATGCAGACTGTAAAAAATTGTTTCGAGAAAATACTTCCTTTTTGCTAACTAAAGTTAATGTTTAAGTATACATTAACACGTAACGATCATTTTTAAGTACATCTATCTACAGCTTGTGGCTGTATATATTTCCCCTATCAATGGCAGACTGTAAAAAATTGTTCCATTTTTTGTGTTACAAGCGCCCGGGCTATTAAGCTGATCGATCGTTCTTTTAACATCTCAATGGAAATTCAGTTGTTGCATCAACTATTGAAAAATTTATTACTTTTTGGAAGTTGTTACATGTTACATGAAATTAAGAACTTGAATCGATAAGAATTCTATATTAATGAGGTAAATATTCCACTTTCTATTCACGTAACTATTTAATTAAGTTTCGATGTTGTACGCGCAAAAAAGAGAACTAGATTCGACTTCTGTGAAAAACATCTTGAGAACTGTCCAAGAGCAAATACGAATAATTAACAATATTGCAGACCTGCGCTTCAGTACAACCTTCCGTCATTAGTTTGTGTATGAATTATGTGTTTGGTGCCAAATATATTTGAATAAATAGATTTAAATGTATTGGCCTTTTGCGTGTGTACAATTCATTTGAATAGATGCAACTAATTAATTTTCGTTGCATCAAGAATCCTCGCTACACCCCCAAAGCGATTCACCATTATATTTGATCTTAAAATAAATCACTGTGTAGAAATTGGGCCATTTACCTTATTTATCAAACTTAAATATTACTGAATAACTTTCATTGAGAATGTGAATAAATCATTTCACTTCTCATTTTTAATATTGTAGTGTTTGGTAAATTCTATTGTAAAGTAATGTGGCAGCATTTCTCAGTATAATACTTTTTATTTTTAGAAAAAGCACACTGTCGGATATAAATGTCCCACGGGATCAAACTGCCGCCACGTATGGAGATGCGCCATCGAGCAAATGTTATTTTTCACGTAAGTATCAGGACTATACAGCTGTTTTGTATTCATGTGTCGCATATTACATTTTCTCTTTGAAATAGGATCGTAGGTTTTAAGAGATCAGGGAGTTGACCACTCAAGCGGCTAGAAAAACTTCACTTTACTTTTGACAATTTCTTTCAGGGAACATAGTAATGGTCTGTGTAAAATGCACAAATTTTTAAAACGCTATGAAATACGCTGAAATAAATAACGCCTTGAAATTTTTACACAAACCATTTTATATGCAAACGAAAGCCCATATAAAATTTTAGCTATATCTTAGCATTCATTCAGTTATCAAGTAAACTCTCTTAAAAGGACACACAAGTATGATCATTCCTTCGATAAGTGTGAAGTTGTTGGAATCGAAAAGATCGCACTTATCGTATCATTTGTGCCCATAATTATGAAAGTGGTCTAAGTCAAAATTAAAAAAAAAATGAAT